CCCCAAAACCCCAAAACCCCAAAACCCCAAAACCCCAAAACCCCAAAACCCCTTTGAGGAGTTTGAAAGTTGAATGTTGGAAATTGTAGTTGAATTTTGGTTAGATAATTATTCTCTCTTTCCTGGGCATTGCGTGGGATAAGCTATGGAGATTAAAGGGGAGAGTTACGTTCATTTCTTGAAACAGAATTTATCACCATGTAAAGTGAGGGGTTTTGAAGTATCAGTCTTGACTTTTTGGATTCTTTTGAAAGTGTTTTTCTCAGATCCTTCTACTCTCTTCTTACGAGTCCAGTTGATATCAGTAGCTTAATGATTAGAGCTATGGCTTACACATGAACTTCTTCAAGTCCTTATTATGTTTCTTTATGAATTTATAAAATGGTTTAGCTCTTTGACTTTTTGTATTGATTCTGTTCTCTCCAGACATAGAATGAACCACTTTTCCACAACTTTCTCTCCACCTGTTGTTGGAATGATTAGTCTTTCTCTGATTTTCAAAGATGGTCTTCCTTAAGGATTGAAAGTTCTTAAGGGTCCTTCTCATCCTATCTGATTCCTTCCGTTGTGAGGAGGGTAAGCCAATATTCGATTGAGTCTTCCACTCTTGTATCTGGCCATCTCAACTAACGTATTCTTTAATTTTCTCAATTTGCTCCTTAGTTGCCTTTTGTTCATTAGTATTCTTAGCTAGAATACTATCGCTCTGGACCGGCTCAGATTTCATATATGATATACCGTGTCTTGGAAGAGAGATGAAATAATGCGATGGACGGATATTAGTCACCACCTCGGTTAAAGAAGAGTAATGCGATTTCATAGATCCTGAAGCTTTAGATCTTGAGTGTCTATAACATTTCAATTAGTGTCTGAAACAGGATTTTACTCACTTTTTCCTTCTAAGATTCGAATACGAAGTAGAGTACATCTTAGTATTCATATCCTTATTAGCCACTGAATGATTGTATTCTCTTTGTTGATGAGAATATTTAGAACTTGGTTTAGCAATGGTGCCATAATTATCGAATTCGTCCTATACTATACTTCTCACTACTTACTTGTTCGCTGTGAATAATTGTCTTAAGATGGGAAGCATCAAAAGTTTTGCCCTTAAGGCTCAGATTGGGTACATTCTTAAACTCCATTAAATTCAAAGCAGACTTGTATATTAATAAAGTTTAAATATTTTCATGTTTCCCTGGGGTTTTGGGGTTTTGGGGTTTTGGGGTTTTGGGGTTTTGGGGTTTTGGGG